ATTAGAGACCCAACTCTGATTTTCCCAGGAAAGAAAAATGTTTAAACTATAATCAAAGAGAACCTGAGCTAGAAGTGTCCCTACAACTATTACACGGCATCCCCTGTTTTAAAAAATACAGGCGAGGACACTGAGGCCAGAAAGGTTAAGTTAGCTTCTGAGCTCTGCGCAGCCATCGTGGGAGCCCCGACTGACGTCCCAGCTGGCTGGATCACCTGGCAGCCTCTGCGGCTTCCTGGAGCTCGATACAGAACTGTAGTGAAGACTGATGTTTGTTGACAGCTGACTGTGTCCCTGGCTCTTTTTTTTTAATAGGTTTTTTTTTTTTTTAATCTTACTAATCCCCACAGTAACCCCTGAAGGAGATAGGATTGCCTCTGTTTTTCCAGACGAGGAAACGACTAATAGACGTAACAATTTGTTTATTGAGGATGAAAAATTTTAACAGAGACTTGTTTTTTAGGTAACTGAAATTTCCATCAATTTATTTAGACAATTGCGTTATTCCATAAGCTTTAAAAATCCAGTTATATCCATTGTGGAAGCCTTTTCCAGTAGGATCCTGGCATTTATCATCATGTGTCACTTTGTCTAACCCCTACACGGCCTTCTAACTTTTAACCTCACTCCCCTTCAGTCCTTTCTATATGCTGCGAATTACGTCAACTTAGCTTTAAAGATGCTTGTCAGTCCCGTCAGTCTCCTGCCCTGACAGCCTGAGCGTACTCCAAAAAGAGGGCCGTGTTGTGGCACTGCATGTTAAGCCTCCACTTAGGGCGCCTGCGTCCCATGTCTGTGTGCCAGTTCACGTCCTGGCTGCTCAGCTTCTGATCCAGTTCCCTGCACATGAGCCTGAGAAGCAGGCAGATGATTGCTCAAGTACTGGAGTCCCTGCCATCCATGTGGGAGACCCAGCTGGAGTTCCTGACTCCTGCCCCTTCGGCCCAGCCCAGCTCTGGCTGTTGCGACTATTTGGAAGGGTGAACCAGCAGATGGAAGATCTCTCTGTCTCTCCTTCTATCTGTCACTCTGCCTTTCAAATGAATAAATAAATAAATCTTTTTTTAAAAAGTGTTCCTGGAAAATGTAATTAAAAAATAAGTTTGTCTTGGTGCAGATTTTGAAATCTGTGAATACTTAGAGTCTTCAAAAGTTCATGAAAATACGTATTATAAAAAGTGCTCTGCATAGATTTCAAACATGCTAGTACCAAAATAAATATTTTTCATAGTGCACTCATGACCTGTACCAGTATTCCTCAAGCTGAAGGGCCAGATCTCCACAGGATGACAGGGGCAAGAGTTTGGTGGGCCATGCAGCTGCTTGGTAGAGAGCAGTGTCTGTGAGATGAAATACTTCATAGGCAAGACTTAGAGTGCCCAATAGAAAACTGGAGGTGATAGGAGACAGTTCTAGAACAGGAAGTTAAAAGCTATAAAACAGTGTTCACATTTATCCCTGGTACAAGAAATACAGAGTAAAGCACAACCACAAATTATAAAATATCTCTGAAAGGATCCCTGAAAAGAAGTTTGCTTTGACAAGCGAACTCTGGTAAGAAATAGGAATGAGAAGGTTATACCTGAGTAGGTGGGATAGTCAGGAGGTAAAAGATTTATGAACCAGAAAACCACCACCACCACCACCACCATCACCACCACCATCACCATCACCACCATCACTACCACTATCACCACCATCACTACCACTATTGGAACCACCATCACTGCCACCACCATCGCCATCACCACCATCGCCATCATCACCACCACCATCACCACCACCATCACTACCACTATCACCACCACCATCACCATCACCACCACCATCACCACCACCATCACCACCACCACCATCACCACTATCACCACCATCATCACCACCACCATCACCACCACCATCACCACTATCACCACTATCACCACCATCATCATCACCATCACCATCACTACCACTATCACCACCACCATCACCACCATCACCATCACCATCACCGCCACCATCACCACTGTCACTACCACTACCACTATCACCACCATCACCACCGTCACTACCACTACCACCATCACCACCACCATCACCACCACCATCATCACCACCATCACCATCACCACCCTCATCACCATCACCACCACCATCATCGTCTCTTACTACCTGTGTCACATGTTGCAGATTCCTCTCACCTGTTATCTTGGTTGATTCTTATCATAGACCTCGTCTTCATTTGGTGAAATTATAGTTTACCACACAAAGGTCACAAGGCCAGCTGGATTCTGTGAGCCCCACCTTCCGCTCACTGACACACCCACCCTCCCTGCTAGGCCACCAGCAAGCTGCAGACAGCTCCTCCTCGCAGTCTGCCACCCTGCAGCACTTCTGTGAGCCGCGCCCGGAGGCCAGCAGGCCTTCCACCTCTGGTCACTGTGCAGAGGTGGATTCCACACCTACCAGAAAAGCTCTGCAACTTTGTCCCCACGTTACGGGAAGTGGAGGCTCTGACCATCCTGTCTGAGTTAGCTTTGAGACGTGTTTCAGGGGCTCATTAAATAGTCAGAAACAAAGAAATAACTTGCCCAGTTTAAAATCCTGAGAGCTCATTTGAACAGACCTGACGCCTGGAGTCGTTGTCCCAAGAGGCCACAGTAACTCAGGGCTGTATGTGTTGGGAGAGGTTCCGAGGCCTTGGGCGTGGACGCCTTCACGGTTGAACTGAAATGGGATGCTAACTAGGAGACCATGTGATTGTCCCTAACTGATGAAGAGGAAAGCAGTCGGTCTCCCCCAGGGGGAGGGGGACCCTCACAGTCTGTGTGGAGCTGAAACACATTTTATATTAAACAGAATTCTGTGGAACTCTTGAGAATTTTACAGTTAAGCTTAGATAAATATTTCATGTAACATCTTTCAGATGCAATCATTTATAGTAATTTCAGTGCTCTGATTTCTGTTTGTTTTCAGATCTGAAAAAGCAAACATTTTCTATGATGATTTATATCTGGGAGCTGCCAATTGAGCCCGAATTCTTTATAAGTTAAATTAAATATAATAATAAGGAGGAGCTCTGGGTACTTTATGTCTCTGACAGAGCAGCGTTAGAAGACATCTTTTCCTTGCTGCAGTGGAATCATGATGTTAAAACCTGTGCCGCCCCATCTAGCCTCCTAAGTTTATTTTTTTAAGATTTATGTATTTATTTGAAAGGCAGACCTACAGAGATAAATGGGAAGAGAGAGAGGGGTCTTCCATCTGCTGGTTCACTTCCCAAATGGCTGCAACAGCCAGGGCTGAGCCAGGCCAAAGCCAGGAGCCGAGAGCTCCATCGGGTCTCCCACATGGACAGAGGGACCTTTTTCCATGGCTTTCCCAGGCACAGTAACAGGGAGCTGAGTGGGAAGTGGAACAGTTGGGGCTGGAACTGGTGCATATGTGGGACTCTGGCCTCTTAGGCAGTGGTCCAGCCCACAGTGCCACAGCACTGGCCCCAGCCTCCCGGGTTTAATGTGACATTGGGTCCAGACACCGTCTGGCCTTCCAGCTGCTTCTGGGGACTTCTGGTGGAAACTGCTGCCCTGTGGTCTCCCGCAGTAGACAGCAAGCTTGTCCGTTGTTGCGGCCTTCATGGTCATGGGCACTTGCACCAACGCAAACCCCCCGGGTCTGAGAGCTGCCTTTCCAACTGCCCTTAGTATACTAGTTTGATCGCTTCTCAACCTTTCGGCTAAGATCAAGTGTAGTATGCAAGTTTGAGAACACGAGCTTTTCCTCAGGTGTATGTCTTGATGAGGGGACCTCTTGGTCAAATGAGCACGTCACAGCTCTCTCCACTCACTCACTCTGATTTGCCTGAACTGATGAGGTGAATCTGACATTACAGTTCTGCAGAAGGTAAAGATGTATTTTCTCTTTTTTCCTAACATCCACTTTTGTTTACTTGCCTCTCAATAGTTGTGGGGTACAGCATCACACAGATTCCGGGTCCAGTGGCCTTTAGGAAGGTTGCTTTGGAATTTGGCGTGAGCAGTGCCACTGTTCCCATGGGCACACGTCACCTTTCCCCAGATTACTCTTATTTTGTTAGGTTTGCCACCAGGAGTCACTGTGTTGTTCTCTGTTTTGTACACACAAGCACATCTCTCGTCCAAGTAGAACTCAATTCCATCTCAAGCATAAACGCCTTCAGTTTTGTTTGTTTGTTTGTTTGTGTTTGCCAGGCAGAGTTAGACAGTGAGAGAGACAAAGAGAAAGATCTTCCTTCCGTTGGGTCACCCCCTAAATGGTTGCCACGGCCGGTGTGCTGCGCCGATCCGGAGCCAGGTGCTTCCTCTTTGTCTCCCATGAGTGTGCAGGGCCCAAGCACTTGGGCCATCCTCCACTGCACTCCCGGGCCACAGCAGAGAGCTGGACTGGAAGAGGAGCAACCGGGACAGAATCCGGCGCCCTGACCTTGACTAGAACCCGGGGTGCCGGCGCCACAGGCAGAGGATTAACCTAGTGAGCCACGGCGCCGGCCAAACACCTTCAGTTTTAAGAAGCGCTGTGTGCTGGGTGCTGGATACTGGGTGCTGCCTGGGCAAGAGAGGGGGTGGGAATTTGGCCTGAGCCCTGCCCTGCATCCCAGAGCAAAGGCTGTGAGGGGTGCACACAGTGCACCCAGCCTGGCGAGAGTAGAGGCCTTGCCATACAGCACCAAGCACCTGCTGCTGCAACTTGTAGAGGCCTTATCTGCAGGAAAAATGAAGGCTTCTTGCTTGTTCTCCCCCTCATCCCTAGTTCAAGTCCACAAGCCATCGAGTTCCTGGGAGGCCTAACAGAGCTGAAGGTTCCACCCGAGTATCCCTCCCAGGTCTCCCAGGCTGACTGCTAGATGTCTTTCGACGTTTTTTTAGGGGGCTCTCACAGCACCAGGCTTCTCACCTCCACCTGCCACACGTTCCATGTCCATTTTTGTGATGAGGTTATGCAATGCCTGCATTGATGTGTTTCCATTTGTTTCCACTTAGGTTTTATGGCAGGCACACAAAGAAACCCTCAGATGTCTCAGTATGGACCTCAGCAGACAGGACCATCTATGTCGCCTCATCCGTCTCCTGGGGGCCAGATGCATCCTGGAATCAGTAGCTTTCAGCAGAGTAACTCCAGTGGGGCTTACGGTCCACAGATGAGTCAGTATGGACCACAAGGTAAAGAACAAGTTTGTCCGAAGTGCGTGCAGAAGACGATAGAAATGGTCTTTTGAGGCCTTCGGAAACGTACTTGAAGGCTCTGTCATTAACATAACCCCACAGTGGTCAGTTGTCTGTGATGGGGGAGGAGTAGGCACTGTTCTGTAGGCACGTACGTGCGAGATGCTGTGGTAAGTGATCCTCCACACGTATTGCAAACAAGGACTGAGCATCTGTCTGACGAGTCGGCCCAGTGGCTTAGTGAGAACAGAGCGCAGCCTTGTCTTCAGAATGTTTCTGATTTAGAGCTTGGCCTTCATCGTGTTGGATTCTGGTTTTGCACCTCCGTCAGTAATCACCTTGAGTGCCGTGAGCTCCTGGCTCGCCAGATGTCACCCACACACTTCTCCCACCCTGTCGCTATGGTGCTACAGCACGTGAACAGTAGTTCCCAATTCCCAGCCATCACCAGCCTGACTCTTAGCATGTGGGTGCAGGTCTTTCCAAGAGGAAAAAAAGGAAAGAGTAGGAAAATAAGTGGAGCAATGCCTGGAATTCACTGTTGATATTCCAGCTTCCTGGAAGTCAATCTGGTTTTGTCTAATACACATAGAATCCTTTTATCAAGGTTTTCCACCTGATACATATTGTTTTTCCAAGTCAGTTTTTGCAATAAGACATTGGAATCTCGCACCTTCTTTATGTTTTGTTTATTTCAATCAGACATTAATGTGTAATTTGGAGCGAATGAGAGTATCTGGCACAGATCCCAGAGTTGCCTCACTTCTGGAAGTACTGTAGCAGGAATATTCCAAGCAACGGGGACAAGTGCCCAACAGAAAGCCGTAGCTGCATGTTGACCACCTCCACAGCAAGACTGGTCTCCCCAAGGCAGAGTTCTGGTGTCTCCCAGGGGTGCTGGCGTCTGCAAAGCTGACTGAGCTGTACCGGGGGCCCCAGAGCCTTGCGGCCTGCAGGCACACGCCTGGGAGCCCAGGAGGCCACACAGGCCCTGGCAGAGTGAAGTGCATGTGAGCAGAGTAGGGTGCTGCTTTCTGACGGAGTGGAAGCACTTTCGGTACTGCCAGGGTAGCACTGTCCTCGCTTTACGTTGCTGGGTTACGTTTCCCTTCCAGAATGCCCCACACAAAACTTCCTGTAGCATCCCTTCCTGCTGGCGTCCCCACCCTGTAGCCAGAGGACAACGAGAAGTGGAGGCTGGCTTGCTTCCTGTGTCGCCGGATCCTAAGCAGTTTTCTGTGTTACCGACTGCAGAGAGCCTGAGGAAGTGAAGTACCAGGGGACAGTGACAGGCAGGCTGCTGGTGAACTCCCTGTTGGTCCCAGGTCATTGTGACCAGCAGCCGTCGGTTGCTGAGCCAAGGCTGAACTGAAAGGTGCACACTGTGAGAGCCCACCTGTCTACCCGCTCGCTGGCCACGGTGAGCATCTTCCAGGCAGGTTTCCTTGCCTGTCATGGGAAGATGACTTAAGGGACCGTCGGAAACGCTGTCTGCTGGTTGCTGTAGGCACAGAAAACGATAACTTTGCTCAAAGTGTAGCTGGAGACAGGTGGGACCCCTGTTCCCAGAATGTCAAGGACTTAACCCTTAAAACCCTGAAGACTTTGCACACTCTTCCAAATGGGCCCCTGTACGCTGAGCTGGTTCGCTCTTGGAGCCTCTTCCTGTACTTGGGAACGGAGGCAGAGCTGGCGCTCGCGGCAAAGTCTCTGTGAGCTGCTAAGGAAGGGCTTGCGCTGCAGGAGTTGCGAGCAGGAGGTAATTTCTGCAGAATGCGCTTCTTTTTGAAATAGACCCCTCGGTTTTCTGGAGCCAGAGCCCATGAAGACTTCTCGTTCACGAGCACTGAGCCCGGGAGGCTGCATCCCACCGCGCTGTGTCTGCAAACTGCTTGCTCCCTTTTCTGTTACTTTGCCGTTTCCTCTGGAAAATGCGCAAGTTGGATTCTGTAGCCTTCAGAGGTGCCTCCAGTCTGGTGTCCAGGAACCCAGACTCTGCTCAGCCCCACAGCCTCCCAGATGTGTGCAGTGCACAGTCTCCTGCATGACATGTGATTACAAAGTCACGAGGCTTTTTACTGGGGTTTTTAAGGCACGAGTCCTGAGTGCAGGTGGATGGTAGAAGCCGCGTGAAGCGGGGATGGAGCTGACCCCTGCGTGCTGCAGCTCCCAGGAACGTCGCCCCGCAGTCTTCTCTGGGGCCTGGGCCCCAGGGTCCCGCCCGGAGGCTCACTGCCAAAGCTGGAAACCATTCCTGGTCCTCGGAGTTCCGACCCCTTCCTCCGCGGTCTTTTCTCGGCGAACACTGAGTGGCAGGGGATTATGCTGCAGCTGGGATTGTCCAGCTCAGCCAGGACTCTGAGCGTTGCTTTTCTTTCTTGGCTGATCCTTTTAAACAGGGACCCTAATGAAGTTTTCTCTTTCCTTCCTCTTCCTGATTACTCAATTTATTTGCCAAATATTCAGCTTGCATGTTCATGTTTTAAGGTCTCCTGTGTCTACAGAGGCTCTCGTGCAGTCACCCAAAGGCTGTTAGTTGTGGCCTGTGTTTCTGTTCTGAACTAGATGGCTTTCTTCTGGTTTTGTCTTCTTTTTTTTTTTTTTAAGATTTTATTTATTTATTTGAGAAGTAGAGTTACAGACAAAGGAAGAGAAAGAGAGAAAGGTCTTCCATCTGCTGGTTCACCCCCCAAATGGCTGCAGTGGCCAAAGCTGGGCCAATCTGAAACCAGGAGCCAAGATCTTCCAGGTCTCCCATGCAGGTGCAGGGACACAAGGACCTGGGCCATCTTCTACTCTTTCCCAGGCCATAGCAGAGAGCTGGATCGGAATAGGAGCAGCCAGGGCTAGAATTGGTGCCATATGGGACGCCAGCACCGCAGGCAGATTAACCTACTGCACCACAGCGCCGGCCCCTGCTTTTGTCTTTTTTTTTTTTTTTTTTTTAAGATTTATTTATTTATTTGAAAGTCAGAGTTAGGCGGAGAGAGAATGAGAGGTCTTCCATCTGCTGGTTCACTCCCCAGCTGGCTACAACGGCCGGGGCTGTGCCAATCCAAAGCCAGGAGCTTCTTCTGGGTCTCCCGTGTGGTTTCAGGGGCCCAAGGACTTGGCCCATCTTCTACTGCTTTCCCAGGCCACAGCAGAGAGCTGGATCAAAACTTTAGCAACTGGGACTGAAACTGGTGCCCATATGGGATGCCAGCACTGCAGGTGACCGCTTTACCCACTACGCCGCAGCACTGGCCCCTGGTTTTGTCTTTTTAAAAGAGAGCTCGGGAAAATATTTCTCACCCACCAGCGTCATCGTCCAAGGCAGCGGCTTCTTCAAGGTCATTGCTGGCGATGGTGACCCTGTGTCGTGGGTCCTGTGCAAAGCGTGCTCCACACTGTCGTTTGTTCTGGGCAGCATGTTGGTACAAGGTGTTGTTCCAGCCCCACTTCACGGAGGAACAGCCACGGCACAGAGCAGTCTAGTGAGGTTAGGAGGCAGAGCCAGGCTGATTAGCCGTTCTGCTGACGGGAAGCCTTGGGAAGTTGAGTAATCACCCTCACCACAGCTGGGGAGGGAGCCCGACTGCAGGGCCACTGGGGCCTCACGGGTCCTCCAGCCCTGAGCTGCTAGGGAGCAAAACCAGAAGCGAGGACTTGCCTCAAAGGAGCAAGGAGCTCTGCAAACACGGGTGTGGAGCTAGACCAGCAGGGGGAGGCGGGGTTAGGAATGGGCGTGACCAGTGGGCGGAGCCAGCCTGAATGCACAGAGGTTTGAGTCCAGTGCAGTTTGTCAAACTGCGCTTTCCTGCCTTCAAGCAAACAGCGTGGTACTGACAGCGTGGGCCAGGGGTGGCCGTCAGGACCTGCTTTAGTACATAGAAAGAAGCCTGTAATGAGCGTGTTCTTACTCACAAGTGAGTTCTACGGGAAAGAGCTGAGATCAGTATCTTCATAAACTTTTTTTTTAATGTTTTTATTTATTTTTTGACAGGTATAGTTATACACAGTGAGAGAGAGAGAGAGAGAGAAAGGTTCACTCCCCAAATGGCCGCCGCGGCCGGGCCGGCGCTGCACTGATCCGAAGCCAGGAGCCAGGTGCTTCTTCCTGGTCTCCCATGTGGGTGCAGGGGCCCAAGCACCTGGGCCATCCTCCACTGCCCTCCAGGGCCACAACAGAGAGCTGGACTGGAAGAGGAACAGCCGGGACTAGAACTGGCACCCATATGGGATGCCAGCGCCGCAGGCGGAGGATTAACCTAGTGAGCCACAGCACCGGCCCCTTCATAACCTTTTTAAAAAAAATGTTTGAGGACAAAGACTCGGTCTTCGAGTTTTCTTATTCTCTAGGAAAGTGTCTCTCACACTGACCATCCCCACGTGCTTTTTTGCATATTTGTCACTAATGGCAAAAATAAGAACCTAGCCTTAGTTTTGCCACAAATAAATGTGTTACTTTGGACAAATAATAATTCTGCATCTCGATCCTTCCCAGTTGTCACTCACGTGGCTGGCAGCATCAGGAGGTCTGTGCAGGACCGCCACACACTGCCACACAGGTTCCACACTGACACAGCCCTGGTCCTGTGCCTTAGTTCTCACAGAAGCAGAAACCTCCGATCAGCTAGGTCTGAATTTTTATTTCCAAACTATTTTGGTAAAAGTTCATTTTCAGAAGGGTTCGAAAGGCTTTTCTCTAAAATAAACTAGATGCCATCTGAAATCTTCCTTTCTCTTTTGCTCATTAGCTGTGTCATGTAAACTGAGCAAAGTCAAACCATGAATGCCATTCAGAACAGCCAGTTCCCCAGTGGTGGTCGCGGCACTGCCGTTGTGGGGGAGCGGCTTGAATGCCGGATGTTGTCGGCCCACCAGCTAGCGAGCCAGGCCAGGGTTCGGTGTCCACTCCCCTAAGTCTAGACGCACACTCTTGCTGTTGACTTGAGCCGAGTCCTCTCGGTAAGCACGGTGAGATGCGGCTGCCATGCGCAGTCTTTGCCTCTGCT